TAGTCTATAGTCTAGTCTATAGTTTGTTTTCTTCGAAAAATTTCGACTCTATTTCCAAAGTCAATATAGACTCGTGTCTTTAACCGCAACCGAAATATAAATTTGTAAAAAATTATAATATTAACCACTTTATGCAGACGTACGAATTCTATGGAAAACTAAACACAACTGTTTAACACCGGCTACTCCCTTTGATTGTGCTAAAATAGCATAAAGTTTATGATAAATATTAAATGTTTTCCTTGAGTTTTAACTTCTTAAGTACAAATTGAAACTTTTTCTAAATCATGCATTAAACATAACTTGTGCGTTTTGAATTCTCCTAAAACCATAACAATTTTATGGCTCTTTTGGTTACAGTCAAAGCTAACAGCATACTACTTACTTACTTACTTACTTACTTACCGACTGACAGACTCTAAATATTGACATGTTTACATAGACGACTAATAAAGTAAAAATAAACTTATTACAAACTAAAGAAAAAAAAAGAAAGAGGGAATTGAAATAGAAAAAAAAAATACATTTACAAATAACGGAAAACAATAAACATTTGAGAGAAGAAAAAAACAAACTGTAGTCCATGAATACATTAAATCAAGCATGTGAATTAAACGATTATCACCCTTTTCAATTGAATAGACATCAAAGTAAATATGTCAACTATTTAGAAGTGTTAATTAAAACTATTTAGCACTTTCAGTGCTGGTTGCCCTTTCCGTTACTCTTGCTGCTGTTGTTGCTGCTGCCGAGTAACCGAAACCAAATAAAAAGCAATAACTTAAATTTTAGAAGTTCAACTGTTGAAGTGAGAGATTGCTGGTAAGTGTGGGTGTATTAAGAAACTGAGAGTCAGTGATAATTATTTTGGAATTAAGATTATTATTAAATCTTAGAATCTTGAGAAAAAATCAAGGCTATAGTTTAATTTATAATCCAGACTATTATCAAGCTCGTTGATAATATTGTCCAGCATATAGCTCAGTCTATATCCTACTCAATAGACTAGCCTATAGTTTAGTCTGTTATCTAGTCTATAGTCTAATCTATATTCTAGTCTATAGTCCAATTTCAGCTCTATTGTATAATTCAGACTATATTCTCTTCTATAATTCTGGTCTAGTGTATAGTTCATACTATAGTTTAGTCCACTGTTGAGACTTAGACTATAATTTTGACTTTTGTGCCAGCAATAAGTCATCTTTTTCACAATATTAAACCGTAAATCGTAAATATAAATATTTACCAAAAAGTTTGTCAAAAATTAGGTTTCTATGACAGAATATGTTTAAGTCATTCTTTCCTACATACCCACCACTCTCATAATGGTATAAATATGTCTGTCCTTCTGGTTTCCCATTAAAAGTGTGAAGCATTTAGTTTTTTATTTAGTTTTCTTCTATCTTTCAATATTTACCAATTCAACATTTATATTTTTTAACTTTTTTGGGGACTCTGCATATTTACGACGTGTTCAAATACTACAGATTAAAAGAGAAATGTTTTTATGCTTTAATGCTTGATTTAATATTCAACCGCATCTACACAAATAGACAAACAAACTCAAACACTCTCATGCATGCACATTCAAATCAAATATGATTCTTACAATTAATTTAACAAACCATAAGTAAATATTGATTTTATATAGTTACTCGTTGGAAATCAAAAACAAAAAAAAAGCTATAATGAAATTTAAATAAACCCAGAAGAAAGCTAAATAAATTATAATTTTATTAAGCTAATATTACAATTTTGAACTAAAAGGGATGTGTAATGATAGCAGAGAATTTAGTTTAAGTGTGGAATTAGTATTTTTTTTATTCAGGGTCCAGAATATACTCTAATCTATAATCGAGAATATAGTCGTGTAAGTAGTCCGGACTATGGTGTAGTCTATATTACAAACTAAGTTCTAGTCAGGACTATAGGCTAGTCCATAGTCCAGAGTATAGTCCAAACAATAGTGCAGTCTATAGTCCAGACCACATTCTAGTCTATAGTCTAAACTATAGTTCAGACTTTAGTCAAGTTTATAGTCCAGACTATAGTATAGTCTATAGTTCAGACTATAATCTAGTCTATAGTCCAGATTATTGTCTAGTCCATAGTCCAGACTAGAGTCTAGTCTATAGTCCAGACTAGAGTCTAATCTATAGTGCAGACTATAGTTTAACCTATAGCCCAGACTATAATCCAGAGTATAGTCTAGTCTATGATCCTGACTATAGTCTAGTCTATTGTCTAGACTATAGTGTAGTCTACAGTCCAGACTATAGTGTAGTCCATAGCCCAGACTATAGTGTAGTCCATGGTGCAGACTATAGTGTAGGCTATAGTCCAGACTATAGCATAGTCTATAGTCCAGATTATAGACTAGCATATAGACCAGACTATAATCTAGACTATAGTCCAGTTTATGGTCCAGACTATATTATTGTCTAAAGTCCAGACTATAGTGTACTAGACTAGTCTATAGTCTATAATCCAGACTATAGTCTAGTCTGTAGTCCAGACTATAGTGTATACTGTAGAATATAGTCTAGTCTATAGTCCAGACTATAGTCTTATCTACAGTCCAGACTATAATCTAGTCTTTTGTCCAGATTATTTATAGTCCAGACTATAGTCTAGTCTAGTCTATAGTCCAGACTATAGTCTAGTCTAGTCTATAGTCCAGACTATAGTCTCGTCTATAGTCCAGACTATAGTCTAGTCTAGTCTATAGTCCAGACTATAGTCTAGTCTAGTCTATAGTCCAGACTATAGTCTAGTCTATAGTCCAGACTATAGTCTAGTCTATAGTCCAGACTATAGTCTAGTCTATAGTCCAGACTATAGTCTAGTCTAGACTAGTCTATAGTCCAGACTATAGTCTAGTCTAGTCTATAGTCCAGACTATAGTCTAGTCTATAGTCCAGACTATAGTCTAGTCTATAGTCCAGACTAAAGTCTAGTCTATAGTCCGGACTATAGTCTAGTCTATAGTCCAGACTAAAGTCTAGTCTATAGTCCGGACTATAGTCTAGTCTATAGTCCAGACTATAGTCTAGTCTATAGTCCAGACTATAGTCTAGTCTATAATCCAGACTATAGTCTAGTCTATAGTCTCGTTTATAGTCCAGACTATAGTCTCGTTTACAGTCCAGACTATAGTCTAGTCTAGTCTAGTCTATAGTCCAGACTATAGTCTAGTCTAGTCTATAGTCCAGACTATAGTCTAGGTCTATAGTCCAGACTATAGTCTAGTCTATAGTCCCAGACTAAAGTCTAGTCTATAGTCCGGACTATAGTCTAGTCTATAGTCCAGACTATAGTCTAGTCTATAGTCCAGACTATAGTCTAGTCTATAGTCCAGACTATAGTCTAGTCTATAGTCCAGACTATAGTCTAGTCTATAATCCAGACTATAGTCTAGTCTATAGTCTCGTTTATAGTCCAGACTATAGTCTCGTTTATAGTCCAGACTATAGTCTAGTCTATAGTCCAGACTATAGTCTAGTCTATAGTCCAGACTATAGTCTAGTCTATAGTCTAGACTATAGTCTAGTCTATAGCCCAAACTATAGTCTAGTGTATAGTCCAGATTATAGTCTAGTCGTTTATAGTTCAGATTATAGTCTAGTTAATAGTCCAGACTATAGTATAGTCTATAGTTCAGACTATAGTCTAGTCTATAGTCCAGCTTATAGTCTAGTCTATAAGCCATACTATGGCCTGGTCTATAGTCTAGTCTATAGTTCAGATCATGGTCTAATCAATAATCTAGACTATATTTTGTTTTATATTACAAAATAGTTTCTAGTCTATAGTCCAGACTAGTCTATAGTCCAGACTGAAGTCCTTTATATAGTCTTGTTTATAGTCCAGACAACAGTTTAGTATATCCTACAGACTACAGTCTAATGTTTAGTGCAAAATATGGTCGAGTCTATATAGTAGTCTGGATACATAAGATTAGTTTATAGTCCCAACTTGGATTTAAGGTCACGATTTGAGTCTATAGATAGTATAAAGTCAAGAGTATAGTCTAGTGTATAACACTGTCATTTATTCCCTTAAATAGACTATATAAACCCGACTATTATTTAGTCAATAGTTCTGGCTATAGCCTAGTCTTTCTACTCTAGTCCAGTCTATTGAGATATCCGATCTTTAATACTTTTTCTCTAATATAAGGATCGGTTCATATATTAAAAAAAAGTACTTGTTTTTGTTTTCTTTGAAAAATTATGATTATTAATATAAATTTTATAAATAGAATACAATATCAAATTGTTGTTGTTTCTTTGTTATCAATTTTTGCTGCTACAAATTAACAAGAATTTCGAGATAAATATTTCCCCCCCCAAAAAAAAAAAGTGAAAAGAACATTGACAACATGTTTCACACATACATAAATATCTAAAAACAAAAATTATATATTAATATCAATGAATATGTTTGTATCTACAAACTGATATAATTTCATATTTATTTATATTTTTTATGAATTGGTGTGTGTGTGGATATTAAACTAATATTTGAACTCTAACGGTTTTTAATTTCAAACATTTACTAACAATTTGGAACAATAAATAAGAAAAAATTGTTTAAATATAAGAAAAAGCAGAGACAAGTATTAAAAAGAATTTTAATATATTTATTTACACATTTAAAATGTCTACGAAAAACTTAAATTTAGACAAAATAAAATTATGATTCAAAGTAAATAATGGTAAAATCACTAACATCATCATTGACCAATCTCAGCTCGTCTTAGAGCTTTGAAAAAGAAATGTCTACAAATATTTACTCAATTTTAGAATATTTTTTTTTTCTCATATATACACGAAAAAACCATTTGGTAGTTATAGCTGAAAATTTATAAATTAAAAAGAGGAGTGGGTTATGATACCAAAGTACTTCATTTGTAAGAGAGAGATCGCTTCTTTTTTAGATTTTTTAAAAAATATTGTTTTCGGTATAAAAGCTAAAGATAACAATTTCTAGATGACAGTCAGTTAAAGAGAATAGAAAGAATAAATAGTTAATTACAAGTGAAAACTTTGAACGAAAAAACTTTAAATAAATAATTTTGTGAAAAAAATTTATAAAAAATCAAACATGTGGTTTTATCTGGCGTTGTTAAGTTTGGCTGTAATAAATTCTTGTCTAGCCTTAGAATTAAATATGAATACCACCACAGAATTTGTTACACATCGAGAAGCTAGACGTAGTCCTTTAACGGATAGTTGTATAACCAGTGATGACACTACCGGTACTTGTATGTCCCGTTTTAAGTGTTTAAGTTCGGGTGGTATACCCAAAGGTTATTGCAGTTCATTTGGTGTTTGTTGTGAAAGTAAGTTTTGAAACCTTTTTATTGAAATACTCTCCCAACATATAACTTTTCAATTTTCTCTCTACCCAGCCAATCTACAATGCAATATGGCCTCGAGATTAAAACGCACCATTATTAAAAATCCTGCTGTTTTAAATTCAAATCCTTGTATCTATACCATACAACCCTATAGTCCCGATGTCTGTCAACTTTTAATAGAATTCCAAAGATTTGAAATGCAACCGCCAAACTATGATGCTGCCAATAATGTTTTAGAATGTGGTGATAACTTATCCATAGGTGATTTTACTTTGTGTGGCGATAATAATGGTCAACATTTGTATATACCCTTTAATGTGGCCAATGGTGTACCGGAAATTACCCTAACCTTTAATCTGCCCAATCGTTGGTCAGCTTCAATATGGCGTTTGGTTGTTACGCAATTGGAATGCCCTGCTCAACCTAAAAAACGTTCACAATCTTTCATGCCTTTCGTTAGTGGTAATAATTTACAAAATCTTCGCACTATTTTTACTTCACACAGTAATGCCGATTTGGAATTATTGGCACCGCACGGTTGTCATCAGTACTATACCCAATTGTCGGATAGTATTAAGAGTTTCAATTATAAGGCTGATGGTTCAACGTATTATTTGCCCGGTATAAATTATGTGATTTGTATTAAACCAACTGGAGGAGCTAACATGATAGAGTAAGTAGTATTAATTATTGAGCTATATGATGTTCCAAAATAGGTTATAGTCTTGCAGGTAGTGGAAACTAATATCTTATATATGGTCCAGGCTATAGTCTAGACTAATGTCCAATCTTTTTTCCCAACTGTAATCTACTTTATAGTCGAGACTATAGTATAGACAAGAGTGGAGTTTATAGTCTAGTCCATAGTCCAGATTATAGACTAGTCTATAGTCCAGACTATAGTTTAGACCATAGTCCAGACTACAGTCTAGTCTATAGTCCAGACTATTGTCTAGTCTATAATACAGACTATAGTCTAGTCTATAGTATATTCTATAGTCTAGTCTATAATACAGACTATAGTCTAGTCTATAGTATATTCTATAGTCTAGTCTATAGTATATTCTATAGTCCAGACTATAGTCTAGTCTGTAGTACAGACTATAGCCTAGTCTACAGTCCAAACTATAGTCTAGTCTATAGTCCGAACTATAGTCTAGTCTATAGTCCAAACTATAGTCTAGTCTATAGTCCAAACTATATTCTAGTCTATAGTCCAAACTATATTCTAGTCTATAGTCAATAGTTCAAACTATAGTCTAGTCTATAGTCCAGACTATAGTCTAGTCTATAGTCTAGACTATAGTCTAGTCTATAGTCCAGACTATAGTCTAGTCTATAGTCCAGACTATAGTCTAGTCTAGTCCAGACTATAGTCTAGTCTATAGTCCAGACTATAGTCTAGTCTATAGTCCAGACTATAGTCTAGTCTATAGTCCAGACTATAGTCTAGTCTATAGTCCAGACTATAGTCTAGTCTATAGTCCAGACTATAGTCTAGTCTATAGTCCAGACTATAGTCTAGTCTATAGTCCAGACTAGTAGTCTATAGTCCTAGTCTATAGTCCAGACTATAGTCTAGTCTATAGTCCAGACTATAGTCTAGTCTATAGTCCAGACTATAGTCTAGTCTATAGTCCAGACTATAGTCTAGTCTATACTCCAGACTCTAGTCTAGTCTATACTCCAGACTCTAGTCTAGTCTAGTCTATAGTCCAGACTATAGACTAGTACTTTAGTGCTTTTGTAGTTCAGACTACAGTCTAGTCTATAGTCTGGACTATAAACTATTCTAAGCAAATGTGCAGACTGTAGTCTTAATTATAGTCCGGATTAATGTGTAGTCTATAGTCCAGACTATAATTAGTCTCTAAAATTAGTATAATCTAGTCAATAGTCTAGACTACTGTTTACTCTATAGTCGAGACTATGGTATACTCTTTAGTCAAGACTATAGTCTACTCTATAGTCGAGACTATGGTATACTCTTTAGTCAAGACTAGTCTACTCTATAGTCCAGACTATAGTCTACTCTATAGTCCAGACTATAGTCTACTCTATAGTCCAGACTATAGTCTACTCTATAGTCCAGACTATAGTCTACTCTATAGTCCAGACTATAGTCTACTCTATAGTCCAGACTATAGTCCACTCTATAGTACAGACAATAGTGTACTCTTTAGCCCAGAATATAGTCTGCTCTATAGCACAAACTATAGTCTGCTCTATAGTCCTGACTATAACGCGGCTCTATAGTCCTGACTATAGTCGGCTCTATAGTCCACACTATAGTCTACTCTATAGTCCAGACTATAGTCTACTCTATAGTCCAGACAATAGTCTACTTTATAGTCCAGACTATAGTCAACTTTATAGTTCAGACTATAAACTATTATAGTCAAATGTGCAGACTGTAATTATAATTATAGTACAGATTAATGTCTAGTCTACAGTCCAGACTATAATCTAGTCTATAGTCTAGACTATAGCCTCTTTATAGTCCAGCCAAAAATCTAGTCTATAGTTCAGACTATGATCTGGTCTATAGTCTAATCTATATTCCAGCTGTATGCTAGTCTTTAGTCCAGACTGTAATCTAGTCTATAGTACAGACTATAGTATAGTCTGTTCTATAATTCTTGACTGTTGCCTAGTCTATAGACCAGTATATAGTCCACACTATAGTCTACGCTATAGTACAGATTATAGTTTGATCTATAGTTCAGTTTCTGAATAATTCTTTATACTTTCCACCATTTTTTTTTTTTTTAACATAAACCTTACATTTTATGATCTCTCTCATTTCAGATACCAGGCACAAAAATTCTCCATGTCTAATGCCATTACAGGCAGTCCAGGTTATGATGGTGACTGTCGTGGCACGATACAAACACCACATAGACGGGAAGATTATCTAATGATACCACAATCATATGTGGCCAATAGTTTGAGTATTTTACCAACATATTATTGTGGCACTTCGTTACAGACGAATCCTTCCATAGTGGCTTCGGCGCCATTTATGATATACTTTAACAGTGATGATTTCACCGATACAACTGAAACTGGTTTCCATATACGTTACACTGTTAGGACAATGTATTAAAAAGCATTTTAAATAAAAAAAACTAAGTTTATATACATACATATTTTTTTTATAAATTAAGCTAATATATTTGGAATTTGGTTGTCAAGGGGTAGAAATCTTGAAATTTATTTACTTATAATTTTAAATCTCAGTTAGTTAAGCTAAAATCTTTCTGATAGTTTTTGCTGTTTATGTTTTAAGTAATTTATATATTTTATTTTAAATTTAAAAATATTATTTAAGTAATCATCATTTATTACTTTTTTTAATAAACATACAGTTTAATCGATTCTAATGTATTTCCTTTTATATTTTATAACGTCTTTTATTTTCTTTGGTTTTTATAGAAAATATTAATAATTTTCATGTTGTCTAAGGTCATTTTGAAAATACTTCTAGTTGGTCCATTTGCGACACCATATTGTGGTGTTTATTTAAATTTCTTTTTAGTTTTTTTTTTTTTTTTTTTTTTTTGGAATATCATTTGGTCGTTGGTCGGCCAAAAAAGGAAAAGAAGACACAAATGCAAAAATAAACCCCCCAAAAAAATTATCCTAAAAAATATAGAAATTTACAGTGATTAACAAAAATGAGATATCATTTTTAGAGAAAGACAATATTACGAAAATTGTGATTATTAAATCAGGGGTTTTCAAATAATCAAATCATTTCGTGTATTTTTAAATAATATAATGATCGCTTGCAAATGCTTCACATCCTTTCAAATTGTGCGTTTTAATAATGTTAATTTTCTACTAATATTTATACGTTATGTAAAATTGTTCCATATAAAATGCTTTTAAGATAAAACCTCTTAACACACCCACTGTAAACTAGTAGTCTGTATACAAGACTTTCTTCTTTTTCTACCGACTTTATAGTCGTTGATAGGATTGTATGAAGTAGAAGTGTAATATTTGTACACTTGTATTCCTGTAGCACCTCTGTTACAACTACTTCCAATACTACTGATATTTCCCATATGTATGTATGTATGTATGTTCATTCATTCCTTTACTATTGTAATGGGGTGGGTATTATGAGTTTGGGCTGATGTTTGTAACAAACAAAAATATTGGGCAGATATATCCCCAGTAAAAACTTTCATTACCATGTAAGTGGTTAAAATGCTAAAATTTACTTACACAATAGCATTTTAAGTCATTATTTTAACACGGTGATTTCATTGGAGGCAAGTACTTACCACAAACGATTACAAGTAATTAGAAAAAGTAGTCATTGTAAATCGCATGAAAAAACGTATACAGCTTCTATATCTTTACTGCCAAGATGTCTAATGAATAAGAAAGTATTTATATAATACATTATTAGTAAGACCTTATTAGACTACTTCTATGTAATACAGGCGATATATAGTAGTTATTGAAAAGTATGTTGTTAGGTAAGTAATTACAATTGAAAGCCATTACCCAGTTTTTGCTGGGTCGGTATACCTCGCGATGCTTCAGCTTATTTCTAGGAGAGTTCTAGTTCAGTTCTAGTTCAGTTCTAGTTCAGTTCTAGTTCAGTTCTAGTTCAGTTCTAGTTCAGTTCTAGTTCAGTTCTAGTTCAGTTCTAGTTCAGTTCTAGTTCAGTTCTAGTTCAGTTCTAGTTCAGTTCTAGTTCAGTTCTAGTTCAGTTCTAGTTCAGTTCTAATTCAGTTCTAGTTCAGTTCTAGTTCAGTTCTAGTTCAGTTCTAGTTCAGTTCTAGTTCAGTTCTAGTTCAGTTCTAGTTCAGTTCTAGTTCAGTTCTAGTTCAGTTCTAGTTCAGTTCTAGTTCAGTTCTAGTTCAGTTCTAGTTCAGTTCTAGTTCAGTTCTAGTTCAGTTCTAGTTCAGTTCTAGTTCAGTTCTAGTTCAGTTCTAGTTCTGTCCTAGTTCTGTTCTAGTTCAGTTCTAGTTCAGTCTAGTTCAGTTCTAGTTCAGTTCAGTTCTAGTTCAGTTCTAGTTCAGTTCTAGTTCAGTTCTAGTTCAGTTCTAGTTCAGTTCTAGTTCAGTTCTAGTTCTGTTCTAGTTCTGTTCTAGTTCTGTTCTAGTTCTGTTCTAGTTCTGTTCTAGTTCTGTTCTAGTTCTGTTCTAGTTCTGTTCTAGTTCTGTTCTAGTTCTGTTCTAGTTCTGTTCTAGTTCTGTTCTAGTTCTGTTCTAGTTCTGTTCTAGTTCTGTTCTAGTTCTGTTCTAGTTCTGTTCTAGTTCTGTTCTAGTTCTGTTCTAGTTCTGTTCTAGTTCTGTTCTAGTTCTGTTCTAGTTCTGTTCTAGTTCTGTTCTAGTTCTGTTCTAGTTCTGTTCTAGTTCTGTTCTAGTTCTGTTCTAGTTCTGTTCTAGTTCTGTTCTAGTTCTGTTCTAGTTCTGTTCTAGTTCTGTTCTAGTTCTGTTCTTGTTCTGTTCTAGTTCTGTTCTAGTTCTGTTCTAGTTCTGTTCTAGTTCTGTTCTAGTTCTGTTCCAGTTCTGTTCTAGTTCTGTTCTAGTTCTATTCTAGTTCTGTTCTAGTTCTGTTCTAGTTCTGTTCTAGTTCAGTTCTAGTTCAGTTCTAGTTCAGTTCTAGTTCAGTTCTAGTTCTGTTCTAGTTCTGTTCTAGTTCTAAGTTCACCATATCAATGATGTAAGGTGTTATAAGAACGACCATGACTTAATAGATTTGTTTTCCGTTTTTGTTAAAGATACAAAATAAAAAACGTATACAAAAATAGCAACCAAATGATTGTTCTTTTTGTGTTGTAACTATTGTCATTGATGTTGTTAGTTTTGCTGTTTCTGCTGCTGATGATGTTGTTGTTGTTGTTAAACAGTGACCAAAAATGCATTTACGCTATTTTGCTAGCAGCTGTGCTCAAACAAACACTTGCACTGACACATATACAAATGAATATATTCCTGCAGTTCGGGAAGTTAGTTTTGGATACTGATTTCAGAGACTGATTTTAGAGACTTGAACTGAATTTCTCTTGGATGGTATATAAATGTTCTACTGATATAGTTCAGCTGAATTAAATGATCACTTTTAAGGATGGAGCTTAGAAATAAAGTTATATTATTTCTTCACTAGATTACTTTTGAACACTGAAGTGACAAATGACTTACTCAGAAGTGTTAAATGTACTCTCTTCCTGATGCCTAGGGAACCAAAAATAATACAAACTTGAGCACAGACCCTTTGAAAAGGATCCACTGAATCTTTATAAAACTACTGGTACATTTCAACATATACAGATGCACCAAGTCTGATTCAGAGTCCGGTATCGCTGTGAATGTGGATTATTTGTTGATAGAGGAATGTAAATGTGTTTATAAAAATAAGTTTAAACGTAAAGTACAATGACCTTACAAAAGGCCCCGGTTAGAAATCAAGGCCCTTTAAACGCATTTTAAATCAGATTCATTAAACAACTACAATGTCTAGAAATGAAACCTTTTTTAAAAACTAATCAAACTCTTTCTGTGGAAATGTGTTAGAAAAAATACCTCTAATCTAACCCTCTAAATATGCATTCTGAATGTACAATTGTGTATGTAATCGTTTACCGTGTAAGTCCTTTTGCTATGTATTTGTATTTTTCCTTTTTCATTTTTCAATTTTTTTCTTTGCTGCAAGTGTTAATTTATGGTCACATTTAGTTCTCGTACCAAGTACTTTATTTTCATATATGCAACATTGATTGTGTTTGTTATTTTTTTCTTTTTTCAAAATACTTAAATTTTAGTTTCTCTAAAACTTTATATTTTTTCTGATATTTCAACCTGCATGGCACAACAAAAATGGAGCAACAATTTGTTTTAGTAATTTAGAGAAGTTTTTTTTTTTTTGAACAATTTTTAACCCTTTTAGTTTTTACTTATTTTTTCATATAACTTTTGACTTATGCTTTTAACACCTAAGTACTGTACTCAATATTTATTATATTTATAAAAATTTAAATTTAAAAATTTATCAATTCTATTTATTATTGTGGTCGATGTCAAGTACATATCAGTTTATTTGCACATTAATTTAGTGAAATTGAAATCGAATGGAAAAAATGGAGGACTCATACTTGTAACTATCCTTTGTAGTCTAATAAAATGCTAATTGACATATAAAAAATATAAAAATTTATTTTAGAAATAAATTTTTGGAGAATATAATTTTAAGTTTTTTTTTTAAATACAGCTATAGAAGTCGTCTATAGTCTAGTCTATAGTCTCGTCTATAGTCTAGTCTATAGTCTAGTCTATAGTCTAGTCTATAGTCTAGTCTATAGTCTAGTCTATAGTCTAGTCTATAGTCTAGTCTATAGTCTAGTCTATAGTCTAGTCTATAGTCTAGTCTAGTCTATAGTCTAGTCTATAGTCTAGTCTATAGTCTAGTCTATAGTCTAGTCTATAGTCTAGTCTATAGTCTAGTCTATAGTCTAGTCTATAGTCTAGTCTATAGTCTAGTCTAGTCTAGTCTATTAGTCTATAGTCTAGTCTATAGTCTAGTCTATAGTCTAGTCTATAGTCTAGTCTATAGTCTAGTCTATAGTCTAGTCTATAGTCTAGTCTATAGTCTAGTCTATAGTCTAGTCTATAGTCTAGTCTATAGTCTAGTCTATAGTCTAGTCTATAGTCTAGTCTATAGTCTAGTCTATAGTCTAGTCTATAGTCTAGTCTATAGTCTAGTCTATAGTCTAGTCTATAGTCTAGTCTATAGTCTAGTCTATAGTCTAGTCTATAGTCTAGTCTATAGTCTAGTCTATAGTCTAGTCTATAGTCTAGTCTATAGTCTAGTCTATAGTCTAGTCTATAGTCTAGTCTATAGTCTAGTCTATAGTCTAGTCTATAGTCTAGTCTATAGTCTAGTCTTAGTCTATAGTCTAGTCTATAGTCTAGTCTATAGTCTAGTCTAGTCTAGTCTATAGTCTAGTCTATAGTCTAGTTTCTATAGTCTAGTCTATAGTTAGTCTATAGTCTAGTCTATAGTCTAGTCTATAGTCTAGTCTATAGTCTAGTCTATAGTCTAGTCTATAGTCTAGTCTATAGTCTAGTCTATAGTCTAGTCTATAGACTAGTCTATAAATGCTTTTTTTTTAAAGTTCCTGAAACAGTCA